TCTTCAAAGTCTTTGTCAAAGTTCAGTCTCTCACAGATAGCTGGAGTTGGTGCAATTTACAGGCAATAGATCAGATAGCTAACTACAATTGCAAATCTTGCAAAAGAGATGTGATTCCCCAGAGTCAATGAAAGTGAAACTGGGGAACTGTTGGAATCTGGTAGAGTTAGATCAGCTGATAACTGCCACTTCTGAAGAAACTGATCTGACTGATGGAGGCCTCAAACATTTTTTTCATCATGAGAGCTTTACCTGACTCCATACTATGTGTCAGACAATGTGTCAGGTGCTATGGTTACAACCAAGAATAAGAAAATCTTATTGCTTGTCTCAATCTTACCTTCTTTAGACTAAGACAAACAATAAACATGTACAAATACACTATGTAATTTCATATAGTAATAAGCATTATGAGGAAAATAATAAGCTAGGATAAAGGCAATATGAATGAGATTCCAAAGTTGCCTACAGAAAAATAGTAATTTTCTGGCAAGGGTATACTCTAAACTCCATGGAAACAGAATATGCTCAGGGGGAGGAACAGCCCTCTCCATCACTAGAGTGGGTCTCCTGCAGCCATGATTGCTTACATGACTCTGTCCCACTGGCCACAGTTGATTGGACCAGGGGTAGACAGCTGACCCAAGCTAGGCCAATCAGATTCTCTCCTGGGATTTTGGACATGGAATACTAATTACTGAATTGGCAGTGTAGCAGAGGGGAGATGATTCAGCTTTAGGGCTGGGGCATTTGTTCAACAGCTGCAGAGATAAGAGAAAGCCAGCCTGCAGAAGAAAGATGAGAGGAGCAGACACCCAGACAGAGACGAAGGTTAGAAACTGCAGTTTCAGGGGGATAAAGGTGAGTGTGTTGGGTCCTAATAGGTTTTTGAGTACAGACTCCAGTCTCTTGTAAGGTCCAGCTGGGAGTCCTGCCCTTGGGATCTGTGGGTCCTAAATCTTCCAGTAAATTACTTTCATGGTTTAAGTTAGTCTGAGTGTGTTTCTATGTGTTGCAACCAAGATCAGCATCTCTAAGGATGAAAATACTGATGATGAGGATGATTGTAATTGATAGCATTTGTTGAGTGCCAGGCACTGTTTTAAGAACTTTACATATGTCATCTATTTTGATTCTTACAATCTGTTGAGACAGATACAACTGTTATCCCCACTTTAACAGATGAGGAAACTGAGCTATAGAAGTCACACAGTAAGTGGCAGAACCAGTTTTTGAGTCTAGACAGTTGGCCTCTATGGCCTTCACTTCACTATACTCTGAAAAAACACTGGGGGACAGACTTGAGGTTATTTAAACTCTGTGAAGTCCTTTTACACATTCCTTCTGATCCTGAGCAAAACCCCAGAGCAGAGGATACATGCTGCTTCTCAGACAACTCACTCCAACCGAGGAAGTGGCCACAGCTTTATCGACTCAGCAATTTGATCACTCATTTTGTTAAAACAGTCAGATTCCCTAACCAAGAACTAGAGTTTCTTGTAAGCATACTTGATGTCTTAGAATCGGAGGCTCTGATGTCACTCAGAGTGACAAGAGTTGAGGTTGGACTCTGGGTTGTCCTAAGCCTCATACTAAAACCTCAGAAGAGTTGATCAACTTTTCTGAGCCTCAGTCTCCCTATCTAAAACATAGAAACAACAACCATAATAATAATGCCTGTCTCATGGGGTTGTGAAGATTTAGAGAGATGATGAACTAAAGTGTTTACCAGCATAATTTTTTTAATATTTATTTATTTATTTTGGTTGCACCAGGTCTTAGTTGCAGCATGCAGACTCCCAGTTGCAGCATGCATGCAGGATCTAGTTCCCCTACCTGGGGTCGAACCCAGGCCCCCTGAATTGGGAACGTGGAGTCTTAGCCACTGCACCACCAGGGAAGTCCCCTACCAGCATAATTTGAAACCCAGAAGTGGTTGAGGCTCATGTGAATGCACAATAAATTTCAAGCATTATTATTCTGTGTCCCCTTTGGCGGAACACCTGTTGTTTCTGCCATTGCCCCTTCTTCTGGAAAAACCACCCTAGTTCTCCTTGGGAACTTTTCCTCCATTGGATATATTCCTGGCTGAGGAATGGTAACATGACCTCAGTTAGCCCAACCAGACACTCTCTTCTTAGAATCTGAATCTTTAGCTGAATCATCCAAAACTGAAAGGGAAAAAATACAGAGAAACCACAACAAAAAATAGTTAAGAGTTCATGTGTTCCCACTGAAGAACACAGACAAGACTGGCCATGAGCTCCTGCTGCCTGCATGCTCAGAGCTTCCCTGGTTCCTGTCTTTTCCAAGACCTGGTTCTTTGGCTTTGCCAAGACCTGGTTCTTTGGCTTTCCCATAGATTCTATGACTTTCTCACAAATTTAAACTCCCATAAAGTCTCCAATAAACCTAAGTTAGGCAGAGCTGGTTTCCATTGCTTGCCATCAAAGAACTTTATCTGATGTACTTTTCAAGCAAGGATTAGGTCTCTGTGAAACTCAGCAAATTCTTTAATCCCCTTTCCCTATTCCCCTGGACAAGGACAGTGTATTAGCAATATCTTGCTGGGTAACAAATTATCCCAGAGCTAAGTGGCTTTAAACAATAAATATTTATTATCTCATAACTGTATGTCTTGAAATTCAGGAGCAACTTTGCTTAGTGGTTCTGGCTCAGGATCTTTCAAGAAGGCTGCAGTCAGCACTATTTACAATAGCCAGGACATGGAAGCAACCTAAATGTCCATCAACAGAGGAATGGCTAAAGAAGATGTGGTACATATATACAATGGAATATTACTCAGCCATAAAACGGAACGAAACTGTGCCATTCGCAGAGACGTGGATGTTCCTAGAGACTTTCATAGAGTGAAGTAAGTCAGAAAGAGAAAAACAAACATCGTATATTAACACATATGTGGAATCTAGAAAAATGGTATAGATGAACTTATTTGCAAAGCAGAAACAGAGACAGAGACATAAAGGACAAACGTATAGATACTAAGGGGGAAGAGGGGGTGAGATGGATTGGGAAATTGGGATTGACACATATACACTGCTATGTATAAAACAGATAACTAACGAGAACCTACTGTATAGTACAGAGAACTCTATACTCAATGCTCTGTGGTGACCTAAATGGAAAGGAAATCCAAGGAAGAGGGGAATATATGTATACGTGTGGCTGATTCACTTTGCTATACAGCAGAAACAAACACAACATTGTAAAGCAACTATACTCCAATTAAAAAAAAAAAAGAACGCTGCAGTCAAATGTCAGCCAGCATTGCAGTCATCTGAAGGCTTGACTGGGGCTGGAAGACTGACTTCCAAGATGGCCCATTCATACAGCTGTTGTCAAAAGGCCTCCGATCCTTGTCTCTCTGTCTTCACAGTGTGGAAGCTGGCTTCCCACAGAGTAAGGGATCCAAGAGAACAACATGGAAGCCATGACACACCACACAGAAGTCAGCTCTATTCAGTGTGAATGCCAGGAGGTAGCGATGACTGGGGGCTACAAAGGGGAAGCCCAGAAGCCGTGTAGGGGTCTTTGTAGCCAGCCACCATCCTCCTTTCACTTCAGCTATTCCTATTCACCCCAAGAAGAACATCTCATTTCAGAAACCCACAGACAGTGATTTACAAATGATGGGTGGAAGAAGGAGGCGATATGAAGAAAAAGATGCAAAGCAGGCAGGGTAGAGGTCTCCAGTTCAAGGACCAGGTCTGGAGAATTGGAAAAGAGGAAGAGACAACCTTTAGGGAAGGGAGATAAACGCTGCCCCAGGCCCAAGGACAAAGAGTAGTATAAAACGTTAAGTGTTCCCCTGGGCAGATTTGTGGGTTCTTCCCTTACAAGCCCCAAAGAAAGTCTAACAAGCCAGTTCAGTCCAGCTTGTCAGTCATTGCTCCAGACTCAAACTGGGGGCTTCCCTGATGGCACAGTCATTGAGAATCCACCTGCCAATGCAGGGGACACGGGTTCAAGCCCTGGTCCAGGAAGATCCCACATGCCATGGAGCAACTAAGCCCGTGTGCCACACCTACTGCCACAACTATTGAAGCCCGTGTGCCTAGAGCCCGTGCTCCACAACAAGAGAAGCCACCGCCACAAGAAGCCCGCGCACAACAAAGAGTAGCCCCCGCTCGCCGCAACTAGAGAAAGCCTGTGTACAGCAACCAAGACCCAACGCAGCCAAAAATAAATAAATTAAAAAACAAAACAAAACGAAAAAACAAAGTCAAACTGGGCCCGAGAACTGGGACCCAGGAGTCCAGGCTGCTGCCAAGCTGTTATGCATGGGCTGAGTTGTGTTCCCCTCAAAACTCACATGTGAAGCCCTAACTTCTCCATACCTCAGAATGTGACCAAATTTGCAGACAGGGCCTTTAAAGAAGTGATTAAGTTCAAACTGGGCCGTGAGGGTGGGCCTTAACCCAATCTGACTGGTGTCCTCTTAAGAGGGCCTTTGGACAAACAGAGATACCGAGGGCACACACAGAGGGAAGGCCATGTGAGGAGAGAGCAAAAAGGCAGCCATCTGCAAACCAAGGAGCGAGGCCTCAGGAGAAACGAAACCTGCCAACACCTTGATCTTGGACTGCTGGCCTCCACAACTGTGAGAAAATCATTTTCTGTTATTTAAGCCACCATTCTGTGATATTTTTTCATGGCAGCCCGAGCAGACTAAAACATGAGCTGCGACTGTTCAGTGAGCCAGCTCCTAACCTCTGCTGTGTACTGTGGTGTCAGAACCATGTGAGGCCTTCCTTTCCAGCGTCAGGGAGGTGAGGGGGGCTGGGTGACCCTGGCCAACTGATAAGGATGGGCCTGGCGTGGAGCCATAAATGCACCTGTGCACCCAGAGGCTGTGTGTCCATTCTCGGTTCCTTCCACAAGCTTCCGATGGGCCCCAGGCCTCCTGCTCCTCCCCTCTGAGGGCAGGTCCCACAAGAACAGTTCCTGTGGCCACCTCTGCTGTCCTGCACACCTTCTCTCTAGCTGGAAAGCACCTTCTGTATTCGTTCCCGCACTTCCTTTGGTCCCAAGGACAACATCATCTCAGCTACAGGAGGTCCTTGCTAAGAACAAAAAGAGAAAAAATTGCCTTAAGATGCCTGAGGAATGAACACCCAACCTTGGTCTGTAGAAGTTACACCCTAGGCCAACCCCAGCACTGCTGCCTGCATCCCAAGGAGCAGAGTTTGCATTTTACGGGCTTTAATTTCTAAGGATGGGTCCCAGAAGCCTGCTCTTGCTGGGTTGGTAGGTCCAATAGCCCCAGTCAACTGCCAGCTCCATGAAGGCAGGGAGCACATGTGTTTCACTCACTACCGTATCCACTGTACCTAGCATGGTGCTTACACATAGTAGGTACTCAGTAAGTATTATCTGTTGAATGACTGAATGAGAGGGGTGGTCATGTTTCATTCATCTTTGCAGCCCCCAAACTGAGCTTAGTGCTGCCGGTGAATGTTAGCTGAGTGGATAAATGAGGGCTCCAGGGCACGGTCCAGCCACCCGCCTCACCAGCTGTCCACTGAGGGCCACTCGGAGGAGCTTCATCACGTTACTGTGTTTGGTGCCTTCCAGACCTTCTGACAGCTTCTTCAGTTCTCCGTTCAGCGTGTCCTGAGTTAAACTCATACCGGGTCCTTCTAAAAGCCTAGAAGAGGGCCAGTCTATAAGGGGCCAGCATGGGCCAGTGGCAAGTGGGTGGAAGGGAGGACTTCAGAAGATTCATCCATCAGCTACAATATAATACATTAACAGCACAACCAATGTTCAACCCTGCCTTGGGGGTGGGGGGATACCTACTACCCCCATCCCCATCCTAGCTGGGGAAGAAACAACCAAGAGACTACAAACACAGAGAATCCAAGCAAGTGAGCATAAAAATGGAAACTAAGAGGACACCATAAGAGGATTAACTGATTACTACCTGTGCCATGTAATCTTAATGCCTCAGTTTTCTCACCTGTAAAGTGGGAATAATAATAGTGTCTGTACCTCACAGGGCTATGGTGGGGCTAAGTTAAAACTTGTAAAGCACTAAGTACATTGCCTGAACAGATGGTAAGTACTTGAAAGTATGAGCTCTTATATTTCAATAAAAAGTTAAATATTAGCTAATATTTATTACATCCAAGAGCTCAGAGACATTGCAAGAGGATCTAAAAAGAAACTTAGGATTGGGTTACACATAGGATGGAAGAATGAAGCCCTCTGGGAAATGATCTGAAACACAGCTTCAAGACTTCTGGGGGATGTAGCAGAGAAGAGCAGAAAGAAGGAAATCAGGAGACCCCAGCTCCAGTAATGTCCCTGCCACCAACTTGCTACAACCATTCTTTGCCCACAAATGAAACACTTAAGGAACTACAACAGGCCAGCAACTACTCCCCACTTTCCTGGCAGTTCAGCTGAGACCCTCTCCCCAAAGCATGTTTGAGCTCAAGAGAAAGTCCCCAATTAGTCAGAGCAGGACTTGCAAAAACTTCGTCCTAGCCCTGATTCTGAGTTAGAGCAAGAGATGGAAGCAGAGCAGGGGGAGTCATTCCACACGGAAGAGGGACTGAGGCTGGAGATCTTCACTAGTGCAGACGATCCTCGACGCCACCTCTGACACCACCTGCTCCTGAAAGGGCCCAGACACTCCACTCCCCACATCAGCTCAGGGTGGAGGGCTACCGGCTCAGGGACTGGGTTCATGAGGAATTGAAACAAAAAGCCTTTTAGTGCAGATTTCCTTACTCACCCCAGTACTTGAGCAATTCAGTTTCAATTTGAGAAACATAATCATTCGTATTGCATCTTAAAACTGGACCACATGATTGCTGCTATTTATGAAATGGAGAAGAGGAAATATTGAAAATATAAGATGTAATGTGGTTTGCAGCAACAGGGATGGACCTAGAGATTATCATACGAAGTGAAGTAAGTCTCAGAAAGAGACAAATACCATATGATATCACTTACATGTGGAATCTAAAATATGACACAAATGAACATATCTACGAACCAGAAACAGACTCACAGACATAGAGAACAGACCTGTGGTTGCCAAGGAAGGGTGGGCGGGGTGGGGGGAGGGAAGGATTTGGGAGTTTAGGACTAGCAGATGCAAACCATTATATATAAAATGGATAAACAACAAGGTCCTACCACAGAGCACAGGGAACTATAGTCAATATCCTGTGATAAACCATAATGGAAAAGTCTATGGAAAGGAATATGTATAACTGAATCACTTTGCTATACAGCAGAAATTAACACATTATAAATCAACTATACTTCAAAAAAACCCAAAAATGTAATGTGGGAAAAAACCAAACACACTCCTCAATGTCACTGTGGGAAGGCAGGCTGCTAAGGAGCTGGTGAGAGTGACAGGCCCCAGGCAGCCAACACTGGCAGCCAGGACATGTTAGAGCTGGTCCAGGCCTTGGCGTGGGCACAGAGGGACTTCCAGAGATCCCGCAGCTTCTAAATATTTGGGCGTCAGCTTTCCTGTCTTCAGTGGGAGCCCCCGAAGGTCTCTAAAATCTAATCCCATGGCAGGGGTAGGGAGGTAAGACATTAGTCCAGTGAACTAGAACTAACAGCCTCATGTGGAATGTCCTAAGTTAAGGGAGTATTATTATTCATAATACCTCTTGGGAATTTATCCTGGAGATTTACTTTTAAGGGTGCTTAATGATGTCTATTCAAGGTTACTCACTGTGATTGTTTGTAACTACAAAATTTGGAAGCAATCCAAATGTCCATCAATAGGAGATGAATTATATAAATCATGGTAAAGTGGTATAAAAAGGGAATAGCTGTAGCTGAGAAAAGAATGAGGATGCTCTTCTAAGCCCTGGACAGATCTAAAGATAAATTGTTAAGGGAAAAACAAGCAAAAAAACACATAAAGACACTAAGGGAAATACAGCCATTATTTTGTAAACTTTAAATGACGTATAATCTACAAAAATACTGAATCACTATGTTGTACATTTGAAACTAACATAATATTACAAATCAACTATACTTCACTAAAAAAAATAAAAGTAAAACAAAAATCCCACCCAAAGACAACAGTGTTATTATATTGTATTTTTTTGGCCACACCGCTCGGTTTGCAGGATCTTAGTTGCCCATCAGGGACTGAACCCAGGCCCTTGGCAGTGAAAGCACTGAGTCCTAACCACTGGACCACCAGAGAATTTCCTGTATTGTACCTTTTGTGTAAAAAAGCTGAAAAATAAGGGTTATTTACATATAATTATGAATAGTAGTAACATCCAGAGAGGGTTCTGGAATGGGGCAGACAGGGGACAAGGATTAAAAATGGGACTCCTGATATATACCTTTTGAAATAATTTCTAGGTTTTAAACCTAGAGGTTCAAGAGGTTTGAATGTATTAATAACAATTAAGTTTTAAATTAAAAAAATTGGGAGAATGGAGTTGTATACACATTTCCTTGAATACACAGACATTTCACAAAGGAAACTGCTTTGGGACTGCCTTTCTGTTGGGGGCTGAGTAGGAGGGAAGATTTGTGATGGCTGCTTGTTATCAGGGGCTGTCCAAGTACTTTACACCAAAGATAAGCAATAGAGAATATGATTGGACATACGGTCTCTCGCCCCAGCCAGCTTGAGTCCCAATCCCTGCTCCTTCGATTTACTAGCTGTTATTATTTTAGACAAATTACTTAACCTCTTTGTGCCTTGATTTCCTCACCTGTTAAAATGGGGCTAACAACAGTAGTTCCTTTATTAGGTTGCTCTGAATTCAAGTGTATACACACACACATAGCATGCACACATATCCGTGTACACACCTAATATATATGATATATAACACAGCACGTTGTAGGCACATGTGTAAGCAAACCCACACGAGTGTTTGCTGTTATTATCTAATTTAATCTTTATAACTCTCTCCACAGGCCCTAACTCTCCCTGTGGAACTACCCGGCTCCATCCTCAGCCCATGTGCTTTGGCTGGGGGCTGGGGGGGTCCACTCAGGGTCCCACGTATGACCTAACCTAAGCCGGTCAGCACATCACATTCTCCAGGCCTCAGTGACTAGTTCAGAGACAGAAAAACCAGGCCAATCAGGCCCCATCAGAGTGAATCTCAGGACACAGCTAGAGCCGGAGGCTAAGGTTTTGCTGTCTTAACCACCACAGTGGAGACTGCGAGAGAGGCTGCTTTTGACCCCTGGTATCCTTTCTCCCTCTCATGTGTACTGACACCATTTTCAGCTGGGCACCTGGCCCCCAAGGTAAAAACTACATTTTCCAGACTCCCTTGTAGCTTGGAGTGGCCCTAAGACAGGCGTTCGGGCCAGCGGGATGCGGGTGGAAACGAGTGTGTCACTTTTAAGTCAAGTCCCTAAGGGGGAGGAGTATCCCGTCCCCCTCTCCCTTCCCTCCTTCCTCCTCTGGCTGAATTGTGAGCCACCACGGACCATGGGGACAAGAGCAAAACCCAGGGATGACAGGACCCTGGAGATGTGGAGAAAGCTCTTCAGCCCAAACTGCCTGCTCTGGATGCAGGTAAGGGAGAAAGGTGCTTGTCTTGTCTGGTAGAGCATCCCACGCTCCATCTACCCGATACAGAACCTCTGCAGAAGGAGTAACGGGCGTGGAGGAGTGGGGGAGAAAGTCAAAGGGGCAGAGGGAGAAATTAGGTCTTGGTGACATATTTTTGGCCCCAGCTTTAAGCTGGACCTCAAGCTGGCTCTTCTCCTAGCCTCTGCAATTACGTACACCAATCATTCCCCCCCTTGCTTAAGCCCGTTTTGGTTGCACTTTGTGCCCTCATAATCTGGAGAGTTCTGCTACTGTTAAAATAAGACCTAGTATCATCTCCACCCTATAGGTGAGGAAATAGAAGCTCAAGGACGTGCAGTCACTTGGACAAATCGAAGCCCCCTGGACAGGTGAACTAACTGGGCCAGCGAGGGGTAGGGCAGGAACGGAATCCAGGTGGGTCCGATCCCAGCGCCAGACCACCGCCTCTTCCTGGAAGAGCCTGGGCTCCTCAGGGTCAGCCCTTCCGCCAAGAGAGCCGTGAGTGATCGTCTCACCGAGAACCTCTCGCTAGCTCTGGGGCTGTACTGCAGGCCTGACAGCCGAGCCCTGGAGTGAAGGGGGCCCTGGTGGGGAGAGAGCGAAGGGAAGCGCAGAACCCTGAACTCAGCCTGCAGACACTCACCCCAGCACACGCTTGGCAATGACGTCCACCTTCTCCGAGACGGCACCCAGCTGTGCTCGGCTCACAGCAGGGCGAGTCCACAGGTAGGAGTGCGCTGGGGAGACCAAATCCTGCAGGCGGCAAATGTGACCCTGGGGGAAGAGGCGGTCACTGAACGCCCTGGGATGGGGCTCTGATGCAGCGGGAGGGGAAGAAGTGGGGCCCCACCTGCTCCCTGGGTCCCCCTGAGCTCCCGACACCACACCTGTCTCAGCAGGATGATCCTCTCCAGGTAGGCTGCGTCCAGCACATTCCTGTCTTGCAGCTGGCTCCCGAATGCCTCCTCCACGAGAGCCTGTAGCTTCCCCACCAGCTGGCGTCTCTGGGTCTCATCGCTCACCAGCCGGCGAAGGTGCAGCCTGCCGGGGAAGCCAAGGGACCGTCCTGCCACGGGCATCTCCAGCCCAGACAACCCTCTTCCCCAGTGGAGTGGGTGGGGTTTGAAGAATGACACCTTCCAGCTGGAGCAGAGAGGAGGGTGCCGAAGGTCTGCCCGTCCCTCTGCTCCCCAGGGCCTCTCACGTGGCCCGCCGCCCTCCTCTGAGCTACCTGCCTGGCCTCGACAGGCACCTGAGTTTACAAAGCAGAACCTGGCGGTGCCTGCCTCCTCGCAGAGTTCGAAGCGTGGGGCTCTGGAGCAAAAGGGCAGAGGTCGAGAATATGGATTTCTAGGATTCAAAGCCATGTCCAGACGGCACAGTTCTCTGAATTCACGGCTCACAGTTAAAAAGCTCAAGTTTTCCTGTCAGGTCAAATTTTCCCCTTTTCAGAATTCTTCTAACCGCCTTGTTCCCTCCTTCAGAAGCAGCAAAGCCTCTAAGACTCCAAGCCTCAAACCAGGCCCTGTCAGTTCTGTCTCTGGGCTGCCCTCACCCTGTCCCCAGCAGGACTGGAGGGACCCAAGAGAGCGAGCAGCGAGGGGCCGAGGGCCATTCTGTAGGCGCTTGGCCCCTGTCCCTGACATAGAAGGCAGGCAGGCAGCAAGGGACTGGTGATCATCTCATGGGCTCTGAGACTGCACAGGCCTGTGGGTGAAGCCAGCTTTGCCAGATGTCTGCAGCAAGTTACACAACCGTTCAGAGCTCAGGGTGCTCGTCTGTTACTGTGGGAACAACGGGGCCTCCCTCACAGGGCGCTGGGCAGAGTAAACGAGGAGCTGTCTGTAAAGCACTGAGCACCAGGCCTGCGTTACTGCCACACCCGGCAGTTAGAGACGGGAAGGGGGTCTAAACAGAGGGTGGAAGGATGAAACCATCTGGGAAGCAATCTGGAGCACTCACTGGCCCCAAACCATCACTTTCTAAAATGAATTAAGAGAAATCACATGAAATTTGTACTGAAACTGTTTCTAGGACCCCCTTAGTAGTTAGATGAGACAGTGGGAAGAAAGAAATCAGGCTTGAGATAGTCCACGGCCTGGGACGTAGCGAGTGCTAGATAAACTTTAGTTACTATCACTACCTCCGCCACACCACTAGTACTGCTATGACAACTACTATCTTTACAACTGTTACTGAAATGATCATAGCAGTGGCTTGATTACAGAAACAACTAAAGAGAACAGCTTCGGCTGCACAAAAAAAGAGGGCATCTATCCCAAGCAAAAGCCCACCGCTGTCTCCCTCGGGCTCCCCCTCATGCTTTGTGGAGGACTGGAATGGGTCACAAAGTATCTCCCCTGTTCCGACTCCATTTCTCCCAGGGACATCGCTTTCTCCATGATAAGAAAGGTAGAGAACAGGCTGCATTCAATGTGCATGCTGTTTGATCCTGAATGCCCCACTCAAGAGATGCCCACTCACAGTGGTTAAGAATCCGCCTGCCAACGCAGGGGACAGGAGTTCGATCCCTGTTTGATCCCGGGAAGATCCCACATGCCGTGGAGCAACTAAGCCTGTGTGCCACAACTACTGAGCCTGCGCTCTAGAGCCCGTGAGCCACGACTACTGAGCCCATGCACAACTACTGAAGCCCATGCACCTACAGCCCGTGCTCCACAACGAGAAGCCACCACAATGAGAAGCCACCACAATGAGAAGCCTGCGCACCGCAACGAAGACCCAACGCAGCCAAAAATAAATAAATTAAAAAAATAAAATTAAAAAAAAAAAAGATGCCCACCATTACTGTGTGAACTTGAACTTGGGCTGGTTATTCAACTTCCTGACATCTTGCTCTCCTCATACGCACAATAGGGCAAAATCATACAACTGACCTTAGGTGTGATGCAGGAAGTACATGAAGTAACATCCTTGACACACCCTTGACACACCCACAGTCGATGTGAATCCCCTGGGCTCATGCCATAAAGCACCGAGAAGAGCCTGCCCCCAAACCAAGGCTTAAGAGAAGGCATCAGAGTCCCTGGCCCTTAAGTACGGACCTGTCCTCTGGCTTTCCCTCTAATGCCCTTAGCCTGAGGCATGGCAACAGTGATCCGAACTGTAACTGTGGCTGGAGGTTTCACAGGGAAGAACTACTCGACATGTAAAACAGACGCCATGAGACAGCACTCAATTACTGTGTTGGCTGGGCGGGGGAGGGGCTGAGCAGGAATATTGGTGACTACAAAAACCGTACCTACCGTTTTACTGAGCACTTTCTATGTGCAAAATAGTTCGAGGCTTAATTTAACTGAACTATCGCCTAAGGTGAGTTTTGTTATTAGCCCCATTTTAGAGAAGAGAAAACAGAGGCTTGAGGAGGTTAGGTGACTTACCTGTGGTCACATGGCACTAGACCCCTGAGCCCATAGTCAAAATCAAGTGTGTGTGACTCCAGAGCCCACTAGACCTTCCACCGTGGGGACCCAGCATCAGTAGGTGAGCCCTTTTCTCCTGGGGGTGCTCCAGATTCCCCGCTCACCTGTTGAATTCTGGGAGCTTCTCCAGGTCCAGCAGGGCTGAGTGGCAGGTGACCCGGGTCAGGTCAAACTGTGTGATCAGCTCTGGCAAGGTCCTGCCCAACTCGTTCTCTGCAAGTGAGGCAGGCCCAGCTGCTCAGCACCCACCCCCCCACCCTGCCATTCCACTTTCAATCACAAGGGAGGCTACCCAAACAGATTCGACTTCTAGTTATTTTATATATCAAGGGCCCGAGTGAGCTTTCATTTGCAGAAAGGGTTCTGTCACTAAAGAAAAAAAAGCTTGAAAACAATCCGGCTAAATCAATCCTCATTGCCCTCAAAGACACGAGCTGCAAGAAGAGCCTGCTCATTGCCTGGCTGCGCCCCAGGGATCCTGACTCGACTGGTTTTGGATGGGGTCTGAGCAGGACTGTATTTCACAAGCTTCCTGGTGGATTCCAAAGTGCAGCCAGAGTGAGAAGAGCTAAGCCACGAGCTGCTTCTCATGAGCGGTGGCCCCATCTCACGCAGTCAGTGGGCATCCTGGTTAGGCTTGAGTCTCTGCCACGGCCCTCACTAGCTGGGTGACTTCGCCAAGTTACTCAATCTCTCTGAGCCTCACAAGCTTCTAACAAACAGTGGGGATAATAAATACCCCTCAAGGATATTTTAAGGCTTAAATGAGATACGAACAGAAAAAGCAGGAAGCAGACTATGGCCACAGTTTCAGAAATCGCCCCCCCACCAAAAGGTCATCCTATTTTGTGCATCATCAAGATGTGGGCCCTAAGTCTTTGGTCAGCTTGGAATAAACTAGGGTCATAGTAATACTAGTAATACTGTCAGAGTACCTACTTGTACTACTATTAATAACGTAATTACAATAATCACAGGTTCTGTAATTTTTGTGCTATTGTGTGGCAGATACTGTGCTGGTGCCTCATAGTCAGTGAACCCTAACTTAACCCTGTGAGGTAGACACTTAGCCCATTCTACAGATGAGAAAACCGAGGCTCACAGATCATAAGATCCTTGAGAACAGGGATTACATCTACCTTCTTCACCATTGTAGCCCCAAGCACGTAACACGGTGTCTGGCTCAAGAAACACTTGTCAAATAAGAGAAGGAACGTGTATAAGATCACACGGCCAGTGGGTGGCACAGCTGGGACTAAAGGCCAGGCGGCCTGACCCAAGGCCCCAGCTCTTCACTGCTATGGTCCCACCAGGACCTCTTGAGGAGTGGGTACCTGCAAACCCTGAGCCGCAGCTGGTGACGATATCGAGCAAGGCATCCGGCAGGAAGCCGGCGGCAGCAAAATGCTCCAGGAAGATGTCCCCTTGCCTCTTGGACAGTTTGCTGCCATCCCTGTTGAGGAGCAGGGGCAGGTGGGCAAAGCGCGGGGGCTGCCAGCCCAGGGCCTGGTAGAGGAGCAGATGCTTGGAGGTGGAGACCAGCCACTCAGAGCCCCGTAGCACGTGGCTGATGCCCATGTGGTGGTCGTCCACCACGCAGGCCAGGTGGTAGGTGGGGAAGCCGTCACTCTTCAGGATGACTGGGTCCCCCTCCACACTGGCCACCTCATGCCGATTCCAGCCGTACACCAAGTCCTGGAAGGCTGGCGCCTCCCCCTCCAGGTGGAAGCGGATGGCAGGCTTGGGGTCTTTGGCCAGCTTCTGGGCCACCTGCGCCTCGCTCAGGCTCCAGCACCGATTGTCATACCTGTTGGGAAGCAGAGCAGCACAGTAACTAAGAGTTACTAAGAGTACTGGTGACGGGTGTGAGCCCTACCTTTGCCTCTGATAACTGTATGACCTTGGGCAAGTCATTTACCTCTTACAGCTGTCTCCTCAGTCTTGAATGGGGATAATAAGGTTATTGTGTAGGAGAACTAAGTGAGATAACATAGCACAGCAGTCACAAGCCTGTTTCCCTTCTTCCTTGCTAATGAGGAAACGTCAAATGTCACCCAAGGGGGTGAATCATGACTGATTTTGCCAAGCATGCAATCTCATTCCCCTAAAGCAGTGACCCATCACTGAGATTCAAAAAAAAGTATGCTTGTGGGGTAGCGGAGGATGAAGGTTCTGGGAAAGATTTTCTCTCCTGTTTGGAATTGACCTGCAATTCCAAATCTAGTGAGAGGAGGGTGAGCCACAAGGTGTTGCAGCCAACTGATGGGGGAGGGGGGCAGCAAGGGAGGCAGCAACAGGCCAAAATAGAGTCCCGCCTTCTCAAAGCTGCTGGCTTCATCCTGGAGTCACCCACCTGCAGACTTCTGCAGAAGATGAATGTCTATGTGGTTTATGCTTTGGCTACTCAAAGTGTGGTCTGTGGACCTCCAGCGTCAGCCTCACCTAGGAGCTTGTCAGAAATGCAGCATCTCAGGACCTGCTGGACCCACCCTGGACCTGCTAAATCAGAAGCTGCCCGTCAACTAGACCCTCAGGTGATTCTTCTGCACACTGAAGTTGAGAAGCTCTGGTTTGTCCCTTTTAAACAGAGTATTTGTTACTTGCTCCCCAAAGTGTCCTAAATGATACACAAATGTAACACTTGTAAGTACCATCCTTGACACTGAGCTAAATGTTCAATTGTAAATGGCTGTATGGGACTTCCCTGGTGGCGCAATGGTTAAGAATCCGCCTGCCAACGCAGGGGACACGGATTCAAGCCCCGGTCTGGGAAGATCCCACATGCTGTGGAGCGACTAAGCCCGTGTGCCACAACTACTGAGCCTGTGCTCTAGAGCCTGCAAGGCACAACTACTGAGCCCGTGTGCTGCAACTACTGGGGCCCAAGCGCCTAGAGCCCGTGCTCCGCAACAAGTCACTGCAATGAGAAGCCCGTGCACTGCAATGAAGAGTAGCCCCCGCTCGCCACAACTAGAGAAAGCCCGCACGCAGCAAAGAAGACCCAATGCAGCCAAAAATAAACAAATAAATTTATAAAAATAAATAAATGTATAAAATAAATGGCTGTATGGATACAGGATAGGACATGATAGTAATTTTAAAAATTAATCTTCTGTCAATGGGCAAGTAGACTGTTTATGATTAAAAAATCAATGCTGCAGCGGACGGCACGACCTTGTATGAACATCCAAGGCCTTGTCCAAATAGTTCACTGAAACTGGAACTTGAATTTTATGATGCTGATGGGAGTACAAGCTAGTAGAGGGCCACTAGACAGTATCTATCAAAGCTATAAATTGACCTGCAATTCCAAATCTGGGAAGATAACCCAACAAACACATCGCACATGTGCCAAATGATGTACGTCAACATTATTCATCACCGCTCCCTTTTTTTAGTAACAAAAGATTAGAGATAACATAAATGTTCATTAGAAAGGAACTGATCAAGTGAGTGATGATATAGCCCTGTGATGGAATACTATGCAAGCAGAGGAAAATTTATGGAGTCATACAGACCGATCCTCAAGACAGTAAGTGGGATCTGTAAACTGCATGACACGTATCTTGTGGGCTACCATTTGAGCGGGGGAAGAAGAGAATGATCCCCGCCTCAGGGTGTTTTTCCCATGTCCTCCCAGCCCTTGAGCGTGGGCTGGACCTAATGACTTCCTTCTGATGCACAGAGCATGACACAGCCATGAGATGTCACTTCCCTGATTAGGTTATGCAGAAGCTGTAGCTTCCACCTTCCTCGCTCTCCCCTGCCTTCTCCCTGGCTCGCCCTGAGGAAAGCCAGCTGCCAAACTGTGAGCTGCCCGGTGGAGAGGCCCACGTGGCCCGGAACAGATGCCTCCGGGCAACAGCCTCGGAGAGGCAAGGAGGCTGATCCTTTGACAGGCCAGCCTCGAGGTAACTGCAAGCCTGGCCAAGACCTTGATGCAGCTTTGAGAGCAACCTTGAGCCAAAGAAGCCAGCTAAGCTGTGCCCAAACCTGACCCACAGAAACCCTGAGATAAGCCAGTTGGGGATAATCTGTTACACAGCAAGAGCTAACGAACACATCCACCCCTGGGGAGGCACCCGTGACAGGCTGGGGCTCTCACCGGGGTGTCTGGCGGTTTCTTAGGGCCTCCCTCTTCAGGAGCTCCAGCCGCTGGGGTGAGCAGAAACACGGGTACGCAGCACCACTCTTCAGCAGAGCTTCGGTGGCCTGGGTGTAGAGCGCAAGTCGCTGAGACTGTAGGTAGGGCCCTGCAGGACCTCCCCGGCGGGGGCTCTCGTCAGGGGGGATGCCTACAACACAAGCAGAGAATAATCACCAAACAGTAATAACTATGATGCACAAGACAGTGGTTCCCAGGCACTGTTATAAGCACTTTACACATATAACAAAGCTTCTAACCCTCCTGACAATCCATGAGGCTGCTACTCTTATGATTTCCCTTTTCCAGATGAAGAGTTAAAGCACAGAGAGGTTAACGTTCAAGGTCATGTGGCTGGTGGATAAGGAGTCGGATGGAGGTGCACTGGTTCCACGGCCCATGCCCTTACAGGCACGTCCTCTCCCTCCATCCTTGCCCTGGGGAGGGAGAAGCCAGCAGGTCTGGAACAGGGGACTTGAGAGAAGAAGCGTGGTTCAGGGACAGCCCATTCAGCCTGGCTGGGCTCCTGGCCCTGCCCCTGACTGGCTGTCACAAGGGATAGTGCTATGCACCTTCCAGGCTGCTTTTGTTTAGTGATCGCTGTTAAAGCTCAAAACCACCCCACCCAGTAGGGGCTGTTATTACCCCCATTCAGTAAGGAGGACATGGGGACATAGAGGGGCTGTGTTACATCACCTGGCCAAGGACCAAAGCCAGGCTAGCTGGCCCCAAGTCCGCACTCTTAACCACTTGGTGGACTGCCTCTTGCATTCCTTAGCCTTTCTAAGCCTCGGTTTCCTTCTCTGAAAAGTGGAGCTGAAAGTCTACTGTGCAGAGTGACCGAGACGTAAACGCACCAGTGCTTACACAGTGCTTAGTGCAGTGGCTTCATGTAGAACAGCTGCAACATACGCTGTTAGATTAAATGTGACCTACTATAAGCGAACCACCAACCCCAGGTCTGGTTTCCTCAGGTCACAAAGGATAGATTTAACTTATAACACAAAGGATAGATTTAACTTATAAATGCTAAGAGAGGTAGGGTGGACACAGAAGAGCTGGATGATGGCGTTTCTGCCCTGAAATGGCTTTCAAACAGGAAGAGGACAGGGCTAACTCTGCACACCCGACGTCACACAGACTCTGGAGGCTGAGGGGCCTGGGTTCAAGTGCACTGGCCAGCTCTGAGGCCAGGCAAGACACTTATCAGAGCCTCCATTTCCTCCTTTACAAAAGAAGGAAACAAACATTTACTTTCTGCTGAGGGTCATCACAAGGCTGGAACGGGACGGCCTATGGGAAGGGTTTGGCGCTTTGCCTGGCACATCTCAGTGCTCAGCAGGTCCTGGCTGTGACCATCGTTGGTACTGTTGGTATTAGTATTTCTTCATTTGTCAGAGAAGCGGGGCGGGGGGGGGGGGGGGGGGGGGGGTGGGGGTGGTGGTGGAGCCCGAGGCAGGGGACACAGCCCTGGGAATACGCTGGGGCAGGACTGGACGGTTAGAACAAAGGGACAGACAAGGTGGACGGGCCATGGAAATACGCAGTACAGCCTCGTGCGGTTAGGTGCATCTGGGGTTCCTTCCTGATCTACCCTTAACGTGTCCAGCATTTGGAATGCTCCAGGGTTTAAGAGAGACTCCACTAGGAAAACTGAAAACAGATTCACATAAAAAATAGTATGTAAATGTTCATGGCAGTTTTACTCACCATAACCAAAAAGTAGAAACAATCCAAATGCCCAATCACTGACGAATGGGTAAGTAAAAAGTGGTATTTCCATACAATGAATATTGTTTGGCATAAACGGGAAAGAAGAACCAATTCATGCTACAACATACACGAACCTTATGCTAGATGTAAGCCAGACATAAAATGAAATGTCCCAAATAGGCAAACCACAGAGACAGAAAGTAGGTTAGTGATTGCCAGGGGCAGGAGGGAAGGAGGAATAGGGAGTGCCTGGTGCAGGGTTTCGTTTTGGGGTGATGGAACTGTTCTGGAATTAGAGAGTGGTGGTGGATATACAACTCAGTGAATATACTAAAGACCACTTTGAGATGGTACATTTCATTCTATGTAAATTACATACCGATGCCCAAAGCAAGAAGCTCCAGAACTGAGCCACCTGGGGTGTGGATCCCTGCCCTCTGCCTCACCAGAAGGCTCACACCGTTGTGCTGAGCTGGGGGCTCCTCGGGGCAGGATGCATCAGGCAGTCTTGCTCATCACGCTACCCTTCTGCCTAGCATGGTGTAGCAGGTGCTCCACGCCACGTGGCCAATCACGGGCTCCTGCCAACCCCACTGTCCTCACGTCTCCAGGTCCTCTGCTTACCTCACCGTGCTTGGGCCACACTGGCTTTCTTGCTGCTCCTCAAATACACCCAGCACTAAGCTTCCACAGGGCCTTTGCATCTGCTATTCCCACTGCTTTGAGCATTCTCCCCCTAGGTAACCAGAGGGCCGTCCCCTCACTTTGTGCAACTCTCTGCTCTACTGTCCCCTCCCTGGGGAAGTCCCCCCCATCTCCAAGACCTGCTCCTTGCTGCTTTCCTCGCCTGCTACCCTTCCCTCCACATCACTTACCATCACTTAATATTGTAGTTAAGAATGAATTCACCTGTTATTTATCTGTCTTCCCCTACTTACTGAGTGCAGGGTCTTGGTTCCATGCTTGAACACTATCACTACCTGGACCACAGCAAGTGACGTTGGTGCATGAATTCTTTTATTCAACTAATCTCAACTGAGTTTCTGCTACAACCTTCTACAGTAGAGGACAGAAATGAAATCAGTTTTTGCCCTTCAGGAACCCAGAATTTAGTTAATGATTTACCTGAGACTAGAATACACATGTCAAGACAGACTTGGTGTTTTTGGCATTTTCCCTTGGCGAGCTTAAACAGTCATACCTGTTCCGACAGGAAGGCAGCTACTGAACACACCTGGGGAACACACATACACTCCTCCTCGTCCTCCCTGAGCTGAGCTGGCCTCAGGGCTAAACTTCCCCTAAAGAGACTGACTTAAGAAGCTGCACGTGTTTTGTTTGGCTCCTACAATGTGGTTTAAAAAAAAAAAATCTGAGCTCAGATTTAACAACGGGAAGTAGTCACCAAAAACAAAAACAGGCAGGCTTCCCTGGTGGCACAGTGGTTGAGAGTCCGCCTGCCGATGCAGGGGACGCGGGTTTGTGCCACGGTCCGGGAGGATCCCACATGCCGCAGAGCGGCTGGGCCTGTGAGCCATGGCCGCTGAGCCTGCGCGTCTGGAGCCTGTGCTCCGCAACGGGAGAGGCCACGGCAGTGAGAGGCCTGCGTACTGCAAAACAAAAAAACAAAAAAACAAAAAAACAAAAAAAAACAAAAACAGGGCTTCCCTGGTGGCGCAGTTGTTCAGTCCACCTGCCAATGCAGGGGACACGGGTTCGTGCCCCGGTCCGGGAGGATCCCACATGCCGCGGAGCGGCTGGGCCTGTGAGCCATGGCCACTGAGCCTGCGCGTCCGAAGCCTGTGCTTTGCAACAGGAGAGGCCACAACAGTGAGAGGCCCACATACCGCATTGAAAACAAAAAACAAAAAACCAGAGTTCGGCTCCTCCCGGAAATCAGAAGATTTGACAAGCTGGGCCAGGAGTCCCATATCAACTGGGCTGGCGCTTTCTCGGGCTTGCCACACCCCTGGAGACTCCCGGTCCATCTTCCACTTGGCCTGTGTTTCCTGCCCGCTCCCAGTAGGAAGTGAGATTATGAGATAAAAACAAGAATCTCAAAACAGCCTTGGAGCTTTTTATTCCGCCCTGCCCCGGGAACTTCAGCATCTTTCCAGGTGGAATCTGCCACCCCAGGCAGCACAAATGTACTCATTCCTCCAGGGACTCCATGTTCTCCACCCTGGGCCATGTGAGAAAACCTTCAGGCTCCTTTTCCTGCTCCCTGCTCCTTCTTTGAAGAACGGGCCTCTCCCAGCCAGCCTCACCTGCCCACTCCAGCATGTCCTCTATATTCTCCGCTGCCCCAGGCACAAGGCGGGTCTGATCCGTGTCCTCCAGCCTCAGGATGAAGCTCCCTCCGTGCTTCTTGGCAAAGATGTAGTTGTACAAGGCAGTGCGGAGGCCGCCCAGGTGCAAGAAGCCTGGCGGAAGAAGAGAACAGCTCAGACAAGATGGGGAAGACAAGGGGCAAGTAAGTTCTGCTTGTGACACAAGGTCTCAGGAAACATCAAAGTCTAAGAAATGGCGCTACCCTGTCCCATCTCCCCGTCAGGCACCCAGGCAGGCAGGTTGCCACAGAAGAGGACTGCGCTGGTTGACTCATTTACCCTCATCCTGGAAGTGGAAGAACACTGAAGTTTTGGAGCATGTCATTGGGTAAAATGGCTCCAAATCTCCCCAACTGCACCCATCATTCTACTTTGACATTTGCCTTAAGGCCAAGTTTCACCCAAAGGAGAAGCAGACAGTTATTCAGTGAAGCCACATCACACGTGCATCTAACTTATGCAAATTCAATGAAGTCCTTGGACTAAAAAAAAATTAATTACTAATTAAAAGTACTGTAAAATTACATTTTGCGCATACCCTCTATGCATTGTACGTGACTATTCACATCCTACATTTTAAATTTTGTCTACTTGACACTTTTAAGTGCTGGCTTTAGATACTAACCGAAAGTAATATTCGATGCCACTGTATTTCTCTTCACCCAAGTTTAAACTCTTATTATTTTATTTTTTCATCATTCCTGACTGAAAAGTTAAAGTGAACAGTTTTCCCAGGGCTGTCATTTCCCCCCTTACCCTTCCTTCTTTGGGCCAGGCTACGGCCCTGTCTCCACAATGAGCTTGTCTGCATCTCCAAGTACAGGAGGCAGCACAGGATAGGAAATGCTTCTCTGGAGTCAGGTAGACTCCAGCTCAACACTGATTATGTATGTGACCTTCAGCTAGTTACAAGGCCACCACAAAACCAGAGGTCCCCAAGATAGAGGACAGGGGTCCAGTAGTTGAAAGCAACACCTTTTAGATCAAATAGACCTTGATTCAAATTCTGTTACCCCTTGGGCACTCTACTTGACTTTTATGTGCATCAATTTCTTAATTTGTTAGAGAGATTAACAACAAAAAATAGAAACCTTCCTTGCGAGGTTGCTGTGAGGCATAAATGTTGACCAGAGTACCCTATTAATTTTAGTTATTATAATGATCTACATTCTTCTATTTGTAGTCAACAGCCTTTCCAACATGGGCTTTTCCCACAGATCAGCAAGGAATGGAGAATTAAAACCATCATAATGGAGGCTTCTGCTTATTAAGTGCTTTCCATGAGTACCAGTCCTTACCCCGTGCCTCAGCTGCATTAGCTCACACCATGAAGCAGGTACTATTACCAGCCCTGTTTGACAGATGGTAAAACTCAGAGGTTCAGAGAGGTTAAATAATTTTCTCAAGTCACACAAATAGGAAGTGGCAAAGCCAGAAATTTGGGCCCAGACAATTCCAGGCCTTGGCACCCAAACCAGAGCTTGTCTGCAAACTGTTGGCAGTTCCCAACCAAGTTGACAGCAATTTGACAGAATAGTTTTTTATCTGTTGAATTCAATAAACAGTCTTATATTTTGTATGCTTTTACGAGTTTCCTTTTCCTACTAATTTCTTTATATTGATTTTATAAAAGTATTAGTCCATAATTGACTGGAAATCAGAAACCAGTCCTTTCACCAGGGGTGGTTTGAGAAGCATGCTCTACACGATACTGCCTGCCGAGAAAGACCCCTGTCACTCTGTGTAGCTGAGATCTTGTCACAAAGGTAGCTCTGTGACCCTGGAGTTCAGAATGAGAGGCACGCTTGGTGTGAAGAGGGCAAGCAGGTTGCTTTGGTGAGAAAAGAATTTGGGAAACTAGTGGGGAGGCCCTGACAAGATCGCCGCTAGTGTATACAGTGGGCCCCTGCCTCACTCTCTGGTTTGCTAGGCTCCAATACTAATCACAGGGCCTTTGTACCTCCAATTTCCTCTGCCCAGAAGGTTCCTTCTATAGGTTTCACATACCCAGCTCCTTCTTGTTATCTGGTTCTCAGCCCTTATGACACCTCCTCAGCAAGGCATCCCTGAGCATCCTCCCCAACCCCCAGTCCCCTACCCTGCTTCATTTTCCGCATGACACACGTGACTGTTTAAAACTAGTTATTTTTATACGTGTTTGTTGCAGCCACTACAGTGTAGGCTTCTTGGGAGCGGGGGCCCTACTTTCTCCATGTCCACTGTACCCCAGCGCCTAAAACATTTTGTACTCAATACACATTTACTATATACACAAAAGAAAAAAGGGGCCCAAAGAAATGGTACAGTACAATAAACACGAAACTCCTGGCAACGTGAAAAATTTCCGCTCGTAAACCTATTTCAGCCTCTGTAAAATGAGGCCGCACTACCCGCCCAGTCTGACACCACCGGAAGGGATTCGCTCCGAACGTTCGGGGGGCGGGCAAGAGACGGTGGGCCTCGGCCTGCAGCGTCACGTCCGCCACGGTTACCTGTGGGGCTGGGGGCGAACCGCACTCGCACCGCAGTCCCCGCATGAGTGCCCAGGCTGGCCTCGCGCCGTCCCAGGGGGCGGCCCAAGGCCTCCGGGGGCCTCCGGGGATGCAACAACCTCTTCAGGAGCACAGCCATGTGGAGTGGAAGCGCACACGTGGGCTTCTCCGTGCATCACTTCCGGGGACTCCTCCCAGCAAATCCGCTTCCGCCACAGCAGGCGCAACCCCGCCCCTTAAAGGCGCAGGCCCCCTAGCCTACAAGCCCACGCCCCCTTGCACGACTGCGGTCCCACTCGGCCTCTAGGGGGCAGAGTCCCGCGAGCGGGCGATTTCCCGGGCCCGCCCCCCGGGTTCTTGAAAGCTAAAGCGTGGCAGGGGCCGGGCCGGGGAAGCGGAGGAGGCGGGTCTCCATAGAAACCTCCACCTGTTTCCGGCCAGGCTGTGTGCGATTAGGGGCTGTTACCGGGGCCAATCTCAGCCAGCTCGCCTTTTCCCGGCGGCCTCTGCGGGAGCGGTGGGTGTTGTACACAATCATCATGGCGGCGGCCGGAGCCCCGGATGGTGAGTGTGGAGGGAGTGGCGGGCGCCCGGGTCGGGCCGAGGTGAAGCGGGCGCCCCTGGGGGATGCGGCCTGGCGCGGCGGGGGGAGCAG